CCCCCCCCCCCCCCTCCTGGAGCCCGGCAGGTGAGCGCCGTCCAGGTGGATGGGCGGGTGCGGTGGGTGCTGAGGCCGCCTGGAGCGCTGCCCTTCGGGGCGCACTGAAGTCCTCTGACCCTTCCCTTCCAGGCGGACTCCTGCACCCCAGAGCCGGCCCAGTGTGGGGGTGACATGGCCCAAGGGAACAACTACTACGGGCAGACCAGCAACGGGGTGGCGGACGAGTCCCCCAACATGCTGGTGTACAGAAAGGTAAGGCTGTTTTGGAAAAAGTGGGGGGCGCTGGCTTCCTGGGCATTTTCCCGGCGGCGATGAAAGTAAAGACCAACTTTCTGGTTCCCGGGTGGGTTTCCTGAACCCCAGCGCCTGCGCTGGAGGACAAGCTGGTGTCCTCATCAGAGATGCAGATGCAGCCAGCTGTGTCCGCACACCTCTGGGCGATTCCACAGCCCGGAATCTGTATTCAGCCAGAGCAGAAAATGTGAGGGCCCCCCGTGTTACGCACATGGTTTTGCAGCATCCTTCATAACGTTTAGTAGCTTTCCCTCTACTGTCCTTATAAGCATTCGGGTTATAATAACAGAAAAGCTCACCGTGAGAAATGAAAATAAGCCCGCTGTGCAGTTCTGTGTCAAGAGCGAGTGTGTCTGAGTGTGTGGACGGCTTAATGGTTTTCCTCCTAACCACACAATTCTGCTGGTATTTGTCTTAGCCTAAATTATTTTTTTATTTGGTGTTATTTTTATAATTTTGCTTGTGGGTATTTATGTTATCGTGCCATATGCCCAATAAATAGATCTTTATATAACAGAGGGTTTTTTTTTATGTTGTTGTTTTTGCCACAAACCAATCTGACAGCATTCTGCATTTGACAACGGTGCTGTCAGCAACATATTTCTAGATATTGAGCCACTCCAACAAAGATATATTTGAATATTGTGCACGATTCGGAGAGATTGCGTAGGTAACTTCACTCTGGTGCTAATCAGTATTATTACTAAAGTTAAGGAAGCTGTGTTCTTTATTTTGTACTACTTGTTTCTATTGCCTTTTATGCTGGGATTATTCTTATTTTTTCTTTAGCGTATGCTCTGTAGTGCGTATTGGGCAAGATTTCTTTCGTTAACCTTAGCAATGGTTAAAAGGAAACCATACTTTGAAACCTGGAACGTTTTTAAGGACTTTGATTAGCATGAGTTCCTTGAACAGGCAGGGCGAGTTTCCATGGATGGTTCAGTTAGAGCAGGGGGTGGGGAACCTTTTTTTTCTGCCCAGGGCCCTTTGGATATTTCTAAGATCACCATAGAGAGGATGATCAACTTAAACACTAGCCTGCTGTATCCGGGCAGACATTTCATTAACTTACCCCTAATGCCTTGGCAGGGCCGGGCCAAATGGTTTCGTGGGCCTCGTGCGGCCCGCGGGCCGGACGTTCCCCACCCCTGAGTTAGAGGATCAGGACCAATCCAAACTTCCCTCCTGTGGGGCCCAGGATCTGTCAGAGGTGATGATGAATGTGCGGAGGGAATGTTGTTACTGCTTTACTGTGAAAGTGCATGGGCACGTTGACCCGATGCTAGCTGGTTTTTTTCTCTGGCCTCAAGGACAGCACTATGTTGTGTATCTGTGAAGGCAGTTTTATGTGTCTGTGACAGAGTATTATGATAGAAAACAAAAAGAGATTAATTGCCTGGTTTAGCCTTAAAGCATCCCAAAATGGATAAAGCAAGAGAAGAATCCACTTGAGCCTAAATGATTGCTATTGTATTTCTACCTTGATTGAAATAACTGGATATTTGCTCATTCGATGCAGAGTTGGTTCTGAGAAGAACTATTTGGGGGGGCAGTTGTGTGTTTTAAAATAATTTATAAGACTTTTATTGTTTGGTGTGATTCTGAATTTTGTATTATGCAAGATATGAGCATTAATGCTTCTATCTTATAGGTGCGTGTCTTGTGGAGAGTTGAACTTTTGGGTGTGAAATTACAGTGGCTAGATAGGTCAAACTACATTTTTTCTATGTTTCACAGAACAGATTGGGGCTGAATTGATCAGACGACTGAGTTATCCTGATTAGAAATAAATTGTATAGGACATCCATCCATGTGTCTTATTTAGTCAATTATGAAAATAAATGAAAAAGGAGACTTGGTGTTTTAGAAATAGTTAATGGATTATTTCGTGTATCTGCGCTTCCGGTTGCTCATTTTGAATTTACTGCATAAATTGTCTAGCACCAAATTGTGTTCAGTGCTACTTGTAAATGAATAGGCTATAATGACTTCACGGAGAAATCCAATGCCTCATTCTTTTAAGTGTTATTTATTTTTGCTGGTTAAGTTTAGAACTGCTTGTGCTTGTCATGTTGACCTCCTCTTATTCGCTCTTTGCTTAGGTTTCATGACATGTATGATTTATTTTTAGAAAAGATTTCCCTGATAAACCATCATTGGGAAAAAATAACCTAGTTCCGGTACAAATAACCACCAGATAATTTATATTAAGAAACGCAGTGTCCTTGGTTACCATTTGCTAGTTACCAAGTCCGGTGGTCCGTGTCTCTCTGCACATACAACATGGCATCATGGATTTCCTGTGACCACGTTGCCTCTGATTTTTGTATCACAGGTGGTCTTTGCATGTAATATCCTCTCAGTAGAGGCCGCGTTTTCTTTTCTTTTTTTTTTATGAATCATCAAATTTTATTTTTAACTTTAAAGGGTATTCAGTTTAGGCAGTTGTCAATATTCATCTGGAGAGGAGCGTAGGCCAAATAGATGTATTAGGAGAGTACATCTGCTCCCCGGAATCCAAGAGTAAGCCCTGTGTCACAAATGCTTATGAATCAGGAAGTCCATCAAAGGTTTAGAAAAGACCTTCGGTCCCCCAGCACAGTGCTCTAACTGCCGAGAGGACGCATGGAGAACTCGCCGTTCTATCGATTCTCGCCAGTTTCCCCGCCTCTGCGCCGCTGTTCACAGAGTCCTTGCGAGTGGGTTCTGCCCCGCCAGCCGCCTCTTGTTACTGCCAGGATTCTGATGACTTCCACACCCTGAAGATCTTCAGAAACTGTGTCCATTTTATCCCGGTAGCCTGCGAGGGATCCTTAAGAACATCCTTGTGCCCTGGCTGGTGTGGCTCAGTGGATAGAGCGTCGGCCTGCAGACTGAAGGGTCCCAGGTTCAGTTCCGGTCAAGGGCACATGCCGGGCTTGCAGGCTCGATCCCCAGTAGGGGGCGTGCAGGAGGCAGCCGATCCATGATTCTCTCTCATCATTGATGTTTCTCTCTCTCTCTCTCCCTCTCCCTTTCTCTCTCAAAGGTATAAAAATCTATCAAAAAAACATCCTTGTGAGGGATAGGAAACAGTGAGTGGTTACCCAAGTGGAATACACAGCAAAGAGCTCAGATGTGTGAATTTATTAATATTGTTCATCTGATGTCTCTCTCCATTTGGATTATCATTATATGGATTATAGGAACTCCTCCCAATAGCAGGAGAATTCCAGGGATTTTTGTTTGTTTGTTTTTATGAAGAATTCCGTGGTGATGTGAGGGAAGACAGTGTACAATGGGTGGAGCTGTGTGATCGTCCAGGTGGAGCGAGAACCGCCATAGTGAAGGATACAGGCATAGTGTTGCTACCTCCCAGTCAGGGTGGTACCTGCTCCATCTCAGATGTTTGCCAGTAGCTTTTTCACTGAGTGTGAAGAATATTGGATGTCAAAGGTATTTTTTTAAAAATCCATATGGACAAAATACTCGCCTTTCCAAATTTGTTGATTTATACAAGGTCCTCAAACTACGGCCCGCGGGCCACATGCAAATACAAATATTGTATTTGTTCCCGTTTTGTCTTTTTACTTCAAAATCAGATATGTGCAGTGTGCATAGGAATTTGTTCGTAGTTTTTTTTTTAAACTATAGTCCAGCCCTCCAACGGTCTGAGGGACAGTGAACTGGCCCCCTGTTTAAAAAGTTTGAGGACCCCTGATTTATATTGTGGAGAGCGGCTACCGCATTTGGACAGGTTCAAGCCTGGGACTGATGAGAGCGCACAGTCCTCTGGTGGCAAAGCCACGTGCAAGTCCCAGCACAATGGTAGCCAAAGGCTATGGTTGTGAGCTTGACCTCGTGGTCCAAACCTGTGGGCCCACGTGGCTGAGTGATGTGGGCTGCGGGAGGTGCAGCAAGGAAACAAAGCTTGATCAGGTGCATGTAATTGAGTGGATTCGAAACCCCTGAGTTCTTTGTAACCACGCCCTTACTTTGCCTCCTGGAATCTGGCTACAAAATAAAGACTCGCTTGCAGGCCGTGGTGCTGTCTCTCCATCAGAGAGGGCAGCGGCCCACCTAGCCCCAGCTTTATTCTCTCGTCTGTCTTTTCTAAATCCTTCACCGCCCCCTCGCAGGTTCACCCATGGCCGTGCCGGCTCTGCACAGCCTGAGATGCTGCTCATTTTAGATATAAGAGAGAGAGCGGTGCCTTTTGGAGAAGACACCTCGTTGGAGGACCTGTGTTGGACACTCACTAAGGCAGGTGCCTTTAAACTTGGTCCCCAGTGTGCCAAGGGGTAAAGGATGTTGGTATATATGAGCTCCTGGCTGAGGTTAGTCTTTAAGGGTTAACACTGCTTTGTTCTTAAAGAGCAAGGTGGGACCAGTGGCCTTTCTTACCTGGATGCCCAATGGGGCTTCTTACCTTAGTAGGAGGACCCTCTGTGCGGATCGCCTTGACCTAGGCCCGTGGTCGGCAAACTGCGGCTCGCGAGCCACATGCGGCTCTTTGGCCCCTTGAGTGTGGCTCTTCCTAAGCTTTAGGAGTACCCTAATTAAGTTACTAACAATATACCTACCTATATAGTTTAAGTTTGAAATATTTGGCTCTCAAAAGAAATTTCAATCGTTGTACTGTTGATATTTGGCTCTGTTGACTAATGAGTTTGCCGACCACTGACCTAGACATTGTGTCTGAAGGCTGTTCCTGAGCTCAGCCTATTCTGTGAAAACAGACACACCTGTAACTCATTTCTTCTCTGGAAGAGATTGAGGGGCAGACATGACTGGTCTCTCAGGGACGCGTTCGCTGGCATTTTCTACATGAATTCGGTGCGTTTGTTCCTTCAGGATTATCCCATCTGGTCAACCTTGAGGGTGTCCATAGCGCCCCCGTTAAACACCATCATAAAAAGTAACCTCGGGCATTTTGGTTTTTTTTTTGTTTTGTTTTTAAAAAATATTTTTATTGATTT